TTTAGACCTCCGTGCTCATTTACTGCTTAAATATACCAGCTCTGCTTCTGCATTATGAAGATCATCTGTCAACACTCTGAGATATTCCCCTTTGTTATTAAGCTTGTGGTGCTCTACATACTGTCAGGTTTTTTTGCCAATTATAGTTAAAGTACAATAGTGTATTCACTGGATCAAAGTCTCTCACTGGCAGTGGAGGAATGATTTGTAAGTCTTTATTCATCTGAATTGTACAATAGAATACCTGAGGAATGCAAATAATCTCTCTAAGGACTCAACAGAAAAGCCCTTAAAATGAGTGTTGCACTATTATTATTCGGAATTGGTGTTTTAGCCAAAGTAATTATTTCTTATCTTGTTTCACAGCATTCTTGGTTTTACTTATGGTGACCATTCCTCCCCCCAACCCTTTCTCTTTTAGAAAAACAAAAAACCTGCTCTGGATTTTTAGAAATACTCTAAAACTGGTTTTGTTTTTAATGTGTTTATTTAATTGATTTGCACTTTGTTTTAGAAACAAAGATACTAGGTGTGTGTGTGTGTGTGTGTGTGTGTGTGTGTGTTTTAAGCGTTTACGTTTAGTTACAACTGAAATAGTTGCATAGATTTTAAGAGATTTTTTTTTTCAGGAATAGTCTGGTAACTCAAGTTGAAATTCACCCCCCCTCATGCGTGGAACAGTTCCATGAAACAGACCTCTACCATGCTACATCACAGTCGGGCTTTTTGGCGGCCCCCTAAAACCAACATTGATCCTTTAAATACAAAGTTCTTATAGAAAAGGAGTGGGGTTACAGGAATTTCAGCAATGGAACCATTTCCCCACTTAGAGCCAATTCATCCCTTTGTTCATCAGAGTGGAAACTTTCAGTTTTCTTTCTAACGTGTTCCTTATGTTTTGGTTGAGGAGATGAGTCTTTTTGCTGTAACAAAAAACTTTGCAGCTGTCCTTTTCTATGAAAATCCCCTAAAATCCCCTAAACATTTACGAGGATGAGAACCAAACCATACATTCAGAACTACAGCCGGCATATCTATCTTTAAAACTAGCCTGGAACATCTTCTCTGGAGTAGTGAGCAGTTTCTACTTTTCCAGGGTCCCAGAGTGCAAGGTATTTTGCGGCTGTCTGTTACACCCTTGGGGAACAACAGGTTTCTCTGTGTATTTCCAAGAGAAGACATAGTAACGTTATGTTGTGATGCGCAGATTCTGAGATGTAGAACTAATGCGGCCAGAGAGGAAAGGGCTACTCCACTTTCTATGGCATGTAAGAGACTATATCTTTGGACTCTTACATATCAGATTAGTGTTATCATCTACTAACTATATACACATAAATTAAGATAATTGTAGCAACTGTGTTCTTTTTGCAGGGCTGGGATACGGCACAGATAACATTAAAATGGAAAATGTGGTTTGAAGCTTTTGCACAGCATTGTGTAATACATCCATGAAACCATGAAACAGAAAACTCTTGAAAGAACGTTTTTGTTTTCTTGGTCTCTAAACCCTACTCAGCGAGCGTACAATTAATCTCATAATGGCTTTGATGCCCTGGTCTTCTTTTTGACAAATGAGAGTTGATGAACTTGTGTGGCTTCATTTATTTTGACATTTGCATTGATTATTTAAAGAATTGCACAGCAAAGTTTCAGTTCATATTGCCAAAATAGCTTTAGCCCTAGTATGAAAACCGCAAAAGTGAAAGGTCTAAGTATTGAAATACAACACATCTTAAATTCTATATGTTACCTATGGCCCGCAGTTTTGTTCGTTCATAGACAGAGGTAGGATCCTACGGCATAACAGCCAGTTCGGTGAGCGCGTGCTTTGTGCACAATGTGTGTGTGTGTGCACAGTACTTGTAAATCAACTTCTCTGAGTGCTGTGCAAAGCTACTAAGGTTGTTTTAGCAGGGAATAAAGGACAGCCTAGAGCCCAGGCAGGCGGGTGGGCCCAGCCGAAGCAAAGAAGATCTTTGGAGCGAATCGGTTCAGTGTCCGTTTCTGTTTGGAGCTATCCGTTCTACAGAACGGGGCCGAACCAGTAGAATCCCACCCCTGCAGATCCCAAGTGTCAGGGTAGTTCTTTCCATGCAGCTGCTAGCTTGCCTGATCCCTCCCTCCTGTTTCAAAGGAAGCCCTGTACACTTGTCATTGCAGGATTTCCTCTGCTTTGGGGGGCGGGGTTGATTAATTTGTAGAATGAATTGAGTCGGCTTTTTAGGATGACTAAAAGCCCCACAATATCTTAGGGCTGTGCAAGAGTGGTGATGATCTCAAATCAACGTGCAGTGTGCAGAAAGGGCATGGTTACAGCTGTATTTCAGTTAAACATAGATTAACTTTGAATAGTGAGTGTTCTGTGTTTGAAAATGCAACGTATGTTGTGATTTGCCATATTCTTCTCTGTTGTGAATCCTGTAGAGTTCAACCAGTGCATGATGAACAAATAGCTATTTTTCACAGTGTCACAAACAAAAGCTATAGCACTTTGTGC